ATGGCCTCAGAGGTTGTGATTCACCCAATTAACCTATATCCAGTTAACATTTATCTGTGTTATTCTGTTCAAATAACTAGTATGGCTTCTGTTTCCTCATAGGACCCTGATACTAAAGAACTTGGCACCAGGAGTGGCTCCCAGAACAGACAATTTGTAATTGGTGCCCTGTCCTTGGCTTACACAGTGCTAAACTCTTTCTCGGTAGGAAACCAGATTCCTATTATCCAGGCATGCTGTGGCATCGTGACTAAACAAACCCTCATCTGTGACTGTGCTGATGTCCTCTTGAACCACTGGGGCCTAGGCTGAAGTGGCTGCTGTATCAGGTACTGAGACAGAATGAAGGACCACAGGCCTTGGTGTGGGATGGACCCCTGTGTGTGTGCTGGAGCACATGCAGAGACACTGTGCAGTCAGGGCACAGACCTGCTGTAGTCATGGCCAGAGAACCAAAGAGGCTATGGCAACCCTAAAGAATCTCATTTCTTACAGCCAAAGGGCTGATGCTTCTAAATAAAACACAAATGTAATTCAGCGCTATGCAGATGGCTTCAAGCCTTGGTGGAAAAAGTGGGACCTTTGTATCAGACACAGGGACATGTAAATGGACTTGAAAAAGCTGAGATTCCTGAATCCGGAAGGTACTCCTGATGCTCCGGTGGCAGTGAGATTAGCTGGCTCTCCAGTGTGTGAGAATCTCCTGTTTTGCTTGAAAACCTGGTACAAGCTTTCATGAGCAGACTCTCTTGCACGGCTGCTTACTCATCTCAAGACAACCCCATTCAGCTTTTGCAATCCTCAATTGGTAACTGGGGATAGGTTCCAGAGCAGGAAACAGGTGACATCTGGGAAGATCTATAAGATTGTGCTATTTTCTACCTGCAGAAACCTGGGAAGTATGTGTGGGAAGAGGTTCTAACAGTGAGGTGGAATTTAATACTGATTTGGTGGAATTTACTGTTATAGGTGGACTATCAGAAATTATTCATTTAACAACTGGTGCATGCAGCCAGAAGTGGCTCTAACCACCTACTGGGTCGATTAACTAAAATCCAGGCATTGCTGGGTCCATGTTTAACAAGGCTGTGATGCGAGAACTTCTGTGCAAGACTGAATGGAGGGTCCACAGGCTCAGGTAGTGGGACCGTGGCCGCTCATCATCCTGTGCAAACTGGTGCTCTCACTGAGCCCAGAGGAACATGTGTGAGGGAAGCACCACACGGGCTATGCTCTGCAGGCTAGGCACGTGGCAGGAGACAGTGCCCAGGCCAGTCTCACTGACTTCAATGGGAACGACACTTCCAGTAGCAGAGGGCCTTTGCTGGTGCCAATGACAAGGCAGGCACAGGCACTCATCAAGAGCAGCCAAGGAGTGATGATTAGAATGGTCAGATCCATGGGGATCTCTGCTGCCAGCTGACTAACTACAGTGGGCCTCAGAATAAACAGACCAACAGCCTTCTAAAACGTTAGTTGACCTACACAGTAAGAAAAAACCCTAAATGACTTGAGTCATCAAACTGGAGAGCCCTGTCCTCCCACCCAGTTTCCAGCCTAGCCTAGCTCATGGACCCAGAGCCCTGGGAAGCAGCCTGGGCACCAACCCCATCCATATCATTTCTTCTCTACACTTTACCACAAGGGACTTGCAAAGGGAAACTTGGGTTTTTCAGAGTTAATAGATATTAGTTCTGAATGGCTGCTAATTTCTAGAACCCCAAATGCCACTCTGTCTGCTAGTCAGATCATGGCTATGGTCACTAGGTCACATAGATAAAGTCCTGGCCCATGCCTGAATCAGAAGGGGCACAGGAGATCTGCAGGGCCAGGCTGTGGTTATCTCCTCAGTTTTTGAATGTGTGATTCTGACAAATGGCAGGACTCCTCTACTGGCTTTTTGAAACTCAGAGTAAAGGATGTTGTAGGAAAAAGAGCAAAATAGAAAACCTCAAGAATTTCCTCTTGCTGCTGGGCTAGCAGCCAAATGCAGTGCAGCATCCCTGGGGGGGGGGGGGGGGGAAGTGCAGAGGCTGCCACCACCTGCCGCCACACAACACTGGGTGTGTCTTTCCCAGACAACACGTAGGTATTTGCATGTGCTACTCTGACACCTGCACTGAGTGACTCTAAAAGCTCTTCAGAGGGACCAGAGCAAGATCAGGTTGAACAGCAAGCCCAGCTGCTCTTCTGCAAGGGCCTTATGACTCAACAAGGTCAAGTTAGGGGTGCTGCAGGAAGCCTCCCCTGATAGGAAATTCATAGGAAAAAAGGTCCAACACAACCGAGTCCTTACTGGCAGATAATCATTTTCCTTTGGGAAACAGTTCCTGACTTAGAACTGGGCCCTGGTAGAGACTGAACAACCAACCATGGGATGCTGAGTGAGCCCCTGGCCTGAGCTCCCCCCCTACTAACATGGCGTTCTCTGACCTCCAAGCAAAATTGCTGGTGTGTAAGACTGGACATAGGTGTAGGCAGAGCTTGTCCTGCCAGAAGCACGATGACTCACTGCTGACCCCTGTGCCCCCAGGTGTTTCCCCCACCTCCAACACCACAGCCTGGGGAGAAAACTAGGCTTGGTCCACGATGCTTCTCACTATCAGCCACAGCTGGCACTGCAGAGTGGCTTTGGAGGACTGTGGGGATGCCCCCCAGCAGGCACAGCTTCAAACTGTGCATCTGAAGCTCTTGGGATATACATCTCTCAGGACTGAGGGACGGCCAGGACTGAAACTGATCCTTAGGTTAATTCCAGTATTAAACTCATGGAACCCAGCCACAGGATGTAGAGGTGGCCTCTCCAGAGACTCAAGTTGGAAGCAGAAGAGCTGTGTGCAAGAGTGTCTTTCCACCCTCGTTCTGGGGCAGTGCAGCCTTTCGTTTCCACTCTGTCTGTCCTCCCATCTCTGAAAATCTCCTTTTCTGGTATCCTTGTAGATGGTTGTCTGCAGTCCCCAGTTACGGCTCTGATACTTTGTACTCTCAGAATAACTTGGTCATGGTATATCCTGTTCCACTGTGTGTGTGTGTGTGTGTGTGTGTGTGTGTGTTTAACTAAAAAAGTAATACATCCAACAACCATTTTCTTATTCTTCTCAATGGCTACATGGTATTTAATGATATGCCTGTTCCTGAATTTATTTAGCCCATCTCTGACTGATGCACATTTGGGTTGTTCTGGTGCTTTGCTATCCTTGTACCATTTTCCCTGTGTGCTTTCTTGGTTCTCAAGGGAGTGTCAATAACAACTGCCACAGTCTGTATCTAGAAAAATACATCTTCAAATATACCTTTGACTTTCCTTTAGCCAATGCCAACCCGCTCTCCCTATTTCCATGGTAATACATTTCAGCTCTGCTCAAGCTTAGACAGTCACAGGATAAATGACTTCCAGGAGAGGAAGTACACACAGCTTCTGCTAATTACGGAAATGACTATACTGGATTGGTGACCTCTGGCATCCAGAAAGCATTACATTTTTCATGTATTACTCATTTTGGCTGAATTCTAAATTCCAAAGATAGTCAATGGCATGGCAAGGAAGGTATAAGTTTGAGGCCAGTGGGCAACTCAGCAAGACTCTGTCTCAAAATAAAAAAGTAATAAAGACTGGGGATGTAGCCCAGTAGTAGGGAGCCCTTGGGTTCAATCTCTAGGTATAATAATGATAATAATAATATAAAACAAAATATAACGGACCCTGAAGGTTACCTGGTCCAAAAGGAATTGAGCAAAGTTGTAGGATATAAAATCAAGTTACAAAAATCAATTTTATTTCCATATATTAATAAGAAACAACTGGAAAGTGAAATTAAACACAAGTGACAGGACTGAAGCCATCTGTCTTCTGGTAAGTCCCAAGGAGCAGGCAGAGGAGCTCCAAAGGCCCAGGAGTCCTCTGAAGAAGGGCTATGGTGCCCGTGTGGGAACGAAGGCAGAGGGACCCAGGGCAGGTAAAGGAGTGGGCGGGGGCCAGGGCAGAGCTGGAGGAGCCCGGGTGGCATCTCCAAGGGCAATCCCAGGTAGACCAACTAATACAGGAGAAAAGAAGAAGCTAGAATCAACTAGTCTGGATACTGTGCAGCCTGGAGTCTCCTAAGGGCTCCAGCTGGGGCTGCCTTCTATGGGCTTTGTTGAAATCACACCCTGTTGGGCTTCCTCCCCAGCCCAGTCCTTCTTCCAATCCTTTTTTGGTTTCTCCTGGAAACACATCCTCCATAAACCTCTTGCTCCCAAGTTCTTGACTCAGTGAATACTTCTGAGGAATACAACCAAAGACAAGCTTACTTGGTGCCGACTTACACAGAAACAGGCACACAGACAATAACTGTACATGTATGTGTATACATACGTTACTTGGTTATACCAAATGCAGTTGATCATTATAGAGTGAATGACTCAGGTCTTTTCACGTATGCTTATAAGTCATAACTTATATAAAATGAACTGCAATAAACACAATTTTCACAGTGAAATTATCAGGTTCACATTTTCTGCTTAGACATCAATAAAATTCTCTTTCAAGAGATTACCCACCTTAGGACCTTTCCCCCTGTTAACCAACATTATTTCAAATAGTCACAATACATTCCACTGAATAACCGAGAAAGCCCATCAGGACACATGGAGGGAGGCCGGGCAGCAGAGTGGGAATGGACGTGTGCTGCAGCCCCAGCAGACAAGCCCATGCTCACACCCTAGGCCCGCCACGTGTCTGCTCTGTGGCTTGAGCCCTTAAACTCCAGAATCTATAGATTCAGCTTTGTGACCTAAGTTCTTAAGACCAGAATTCAAATTTCCTTATCTGTAGAAGGAGGGCAGTGATACCACATTCCTTCGAAGGCTGCCTCGGAAATTGAGAAGTTATAAAACCTAGCACAGGGCCTGATGAATGGAGAGGACTCAACTGTTGGCTGCTGGCACTGCTGATTTAAATTACCACAGAAAGTAAGCCTCCAAATAACATGCCAAAGTTCATGAAAACTGGGTACACTTACTTGTAATGTAGTATCGAAGACAACAAGCTTTGAACTGGTTGGAACGATGTCATAACACTTGTGTGACCTCATGAATCGCATGTAAACGCCACTTTCTGAATCTTCTACTGTTAAAAAAGAAAAGAAGCCACATATCAATAATAATAAAGAGTTCCCTTCACTGAGGAAGAGCAGGAACAGAAAACCCACCTCTGACAACTTGGTGGGAAAATATGAAATGTTTCCCTGTAAGATCAAGGACAAGGCAAGGACGTTCACCCTCACTAATCTTTGTATTGGAATCCCAGCTGGTGCAACAGGTGAAGGAAAAAACTGAAAGGCATAGGGGCTGAGCAGGGAAAAACACAACTGTCTTTATTTGCACATGGAATTATTTTCTAGATAGAAAATACCAAAGCATATAGGAAAAGTTTCCAGATCGAAAAAGAATGAATTTAGCAAGGTCACAAATACAGGGCTAATAAAACAAAAACAAAGCTAATCGGGCTGGGCTGGGGCTCAGGGGTGGTGCGCTTGCCTAGCACGCACGAGGCACTGGGTTCAATCCTCAGCTCCACATAAATGTAAAACCAAAAAATAAATATTAAAAAAAAAGCTACTGTACTTCTATATGCCAGCAATGAACAACGGGAAGGTTAAAAAAAGTTTAGAAAGATACCAAATGCCATATGGAATTATGGATCTGCAGGCGGGGACAAAGAGCACTGTAAACGAAAACTATGATGACAAACACAAATAATGTCCTTTTTATCATTCAAATCCCTGCAAAAGTCACTGAAACAAACTGAAACAAACATAATGAGTGTTTTGGGGTTTAGGTCATCTCTACAGGGAACCTGCGCAGCGCCACCATCCGACCAATGACACAAAGATCCAGGAGCCATGCTCCAGGTTGTCTTCTTTACCTGAACCAATGCATCACAGAGTCCTGTTGGGTTTACGGCAAGTCTCTCCTAAACCTGCGCGGCCACACCCCAGGCTGTGATCCCCCACTCCCTGATGGAGCTCTTGGCTTTCTGCCTTATTCTTTTCAACAGCTGTCCACACTACAGATTCCCCAAAAGCAGATCTAATCGAGTTGTCCCGGTGCTAAAAACATCTCAGTGGCTTTTAATTGCTTGAGATAAAGACAAAATCCTTGAAGAAACCTGCAAGGCCCTGTGCTGAAGGCCCTGGTCCCTGGACATCCTGGTCCACCCAGCCTCCCCTCTTGGCACAGGGCCTCCTTTCAGCCCAAATGGCGCACTCTCCCACAGGCCTTCCACTCTGCTCCCTCTGCCCCTTCCCAGCCCAGCTGACTCCCTGTGTCGGTCCTTGGCTCTTGGCTCAAGGGTGTGACTGGCAGGTTGTGGACCTACAGTGAAGCCCTGCCTCTGGATTGCAGGGCTGTGATCTTACCAGGACGTGGCCCACCTCCCCCCGCCTGCAGGGCCTGTTCCCGTCCTGCCTTCCAGCTCTGAATCTATCTCCAGAAGACTTCTTTGACAGTTCCACTCCACCTACACGGATCTCTGTACTTTGGAAGCAACTGTGAAGAAATAAAATTGCTTCCATGTGTGCAGTAAGTAGCAATCTAAGTGTCCAGCAGTGCGGTGCCACGGTCCTCAACTGGAGAAGGAGCCTTATTTTCCCATTTTCTACTGTGGTAATCCAGACCGACTGTTTTCCCAATTTCATGATAAGCCCTGTGGACCACTCCCAGGCTCTACTTTTAATTCTCTCCCCAGGGGGCCACCACTCCAATCACCCCTGGACAGATGCCTCTGAAGCCACCCCTCTTCTGTGCAGTGGGATCCAGACATCTCAGCATGCTGCTCAGGAACCTCCCTGTCTGGCTTCTCTCATTTTCCCACTTGCTGTTTCCTCTCCAGGCAAATGGGCAGGGAGACTTGTTGTCTTCAATCCCACCTTCCTGTACCTGTTCACTCAGCTTTAACCTCAAGGTTCTTCTCCTCTACTTCTCCAATTTCAAACCCACCTCCAATGTAAAAAAAAAAAAAAAGTAAACCTCTGGGGCCCATTATAGACAGGTATGCAGCAAACTACCTTAGTTTATATACAACCTTGAGGAATAAGCTTTAATTTCTTCATTTCGTGTATTAGAAACTGGGGCTGGGAGAGGCTGACTCACTTACCAGAGAGGGAAGTGACCACAGTGAGACTTAAAGCTCCACCCCACTCCACAGCTCTTCCCATTAGACGCTGCTGCTCCCCTGACTTGCTGCACCATCAACAGAGGCCTTCTGTGAGCTGGTCCCTGTCCTGGGTGTAGACACACAGGAGGACGAGATGCCACAGTCCCTGCCTCAGAGCTAAATGCTAGCAGGTCACACAGGATCACACAGTGGGCAACATGCCCTGCCTCAGAGAGGGCAGGGAAGCAGTCTAAGACAACCCTTCCTCCCTGGGCATCTGTCCGTGGTCCTCCTCGATTATCGATTTAGGTCTTGCCCACAGGGACTACATGTTTCAAATATTCTTCTCCTTCTTAGATGATAATATCTTTGAATGATCAGCATCTTAATCATCTAATCCATGAATTAATTGGGCCAACAAATACTCATTGCATGTTGTCTTGGTGTGGGTTCTCCCAAAGCTGACTCCAGGACCAGGGGGAGTGAGACAGGGAAGGAAAAAATACAACATGGGTGTCCACAAGCATTATATTATTATTATAACAATTTACAGGCATCAAATCTGCCAGGGAGGGCTCTGAGGGCTGCGGGGCTCCAACCTGTCTCCTGCCCTTGGGGGATCCAGGGTTGCTCCTGGGGCACCACCTCAGTACGGCTGCCAGAGAGGGCCCTCGGTCAGAGAGGCAGCAAGCGAGAGCCTGGTTAGACCAAGAGGATGCCGTGAGCGGCCACTGTGCAGAGGCGGGGCTGCCGTCCTCCACAGAGATGTGGCTGTGTCCTTGGACACTACAGCTGGTGAAGAAAGACAATCACCACACTGTCACGAGCACTGCTGAGGACAGGTATGAGGCTCATGAGTGGGTGAAACCTAAGTCAGTGGCTTCCATTTTCTCCAAACATTTATCTACCAGAACATGAGGTCCTGCAAAGGAAGAAGCAAAACAGAAAGTGCTCAGGTGAGTGGCCCAGGAACTTCTGGCCCCTGTCTGCCATCAACGGTGCTCTGTTGCGGGGTCCGTCCTGACCCAGGGGCAAAGAGCAGCGAGTCCAGCGCATGCCTCCCATTCTTCAGCGGCAAAGTGTCTGCTGCATCTACTCTAAAATTCAGTGTGTGAAACCAAGAGGGTTACTAACAATAACAAAATCTAACAGTCTTCTCCCAGAAAGGAAACCTTACAGGACCTTCCCTAAAAGACATACACATACTTCAGAAACCTGTATTACTATGTGAATTTCTGAAACAAAGATTTTAAATACTCTAAAACGGGAATATCCAAACATTTAGAATTTTTAAAAACCAGAAAGTTTTGAGTTAGACATATTTAGTTCCTCTCTTGATTTTTAAAAGTGTTTAAGTAAACATTGTATTTTTGATTTATAGAAAAGTTACAAAGATAAAACAGTTTCCAAGATCTCAAGCCAGGTTTCCCCTAAACCGAATATCTCACATTAATAAGAGACACTTTTCACAAATGATGAACCAACATTCATATGTTATTATTAACTGAAGCTGCCACTTATTAGGATTTCCTTATTTTCTCCCTAATGCTCTCTTTCTCTCCCCGGATCCCATTCCCGACAGCCTGTCTCTGTCATCATGCCAGTTCAGGCTCTTCTGCGTGGGACAGACGTGTGGACCTTGTTTTGATGACCTGGACTGTTGCAGATGGCAGGACACCTGTGGGCTTGTGTGATGGTTTACTCACAATCTCAATCCTGGGGTCTTTATCCATCTCACATCAAGGAAATGTATTTCACGTGCACCATCATACTGACCACCTGGCGTTAGATTGCTCTCTCTCTCTTTCTGTCCCACCATCTTTGAAGGGAAGTCACCATGTGAGCCCATACTCAGTGGGAGGAGGCAGGCCCTACCTCCTTCAGAGCACAGCTTCTATGTAAATGACTGGAGTAACTTAGTATAGGAGGGTCATGTGCCCTTCATTCATTCCCAATAGCATGGATGCTGGATATCCCTTTCCCACTCTGAGTTCTGATGCTGTCCTATACAGGGCTGCCCAGTGCCCGCCCCTGCTGCTGCACCCGTGTGCAGGGGTAGGGCTCATGCCTGGTTCAGACAGCTGTGGAGTCTGCCTGGCTCTCACTGCCCAGCAGGCCCGCCAGGACTGCCTGTGCACCAGACTCAAGTCAGCCAGGCCATGAGGAACAAGGTCCTGTCACAACTGTGTCCTTCCACTACCAGAGGGAGGTGAGGGGAGCTGGGCTCCTCCTGTGCAGACACGTGGCCTCCGGGTCACCTGGAGACGGGTGCTCCACCGTCACATCTCACATCAGTACAGTACACTGGTGACAATTAATGAACCCATAAAGTAATAATGAACAAATTATTAACAAAAGTCCCCACATTGTTTAGATTTCCTTAGTTTTCCCCTTCACGCCCCTGTCTCAGGATTCCATGTCACCACCAGCCATGTCTCCTCAGGCTCCTCACAGCTGATGCAGCTTCTCAGCCCTTTTCTGGATGGTCTGAGGAGAGCAGCACAGGGGCTTTGGAGGGTGCCCCTCGACTGGAATGTGTGCTTTTCTCATGACTAGACTGAGTTTTAGGGAGGAGCTATGACAGTTTTTAAATAACAAAAGCTTGACCAAACACAGCAAAATGTTAAGTAATAATGCCTGTTGGTTTGGAATGAGGACAGGTTTTTTTTTTTTTTAATTATTTAAAAAATTGGTTCTTTTTAGTTATATGTGACAGCAGAATCCATTTTGATATAATTTTATTAGTGATATTTAATAAAACTATTAGTAACAACAGAAGCATTAGAATTTTAAGTTAGGAAAATAAAATACTCTTCCTTTTTTTTTAAACATCTTATTTTACTTTCATTTACTTCTCTTTATTTTATTTTTATTGGTGCTGAGGATCGAACCCAGTGCCTCATGCATGCTAGGTGAGCGCCACAACCCCAGCCCGGCTCTTCCTTTTTTACTTTGCTTCTCCGCGTTTACTATAAACTTTCTGATTAAGGGCATTACTGACATTAAGGTGAAGTCTCAAAATGCACTTGAAGGGAGAAATCATTAAAATAGAGAGTAGTTTGGAATTAAGCAGGGGGGAAACCCACCTAAAGCATTCAATAACATGTTGTTTGGAATACATTATTAAAATGCCAGAGAAGGCAAGAAGTTCAGACTCTCAATGTTCAAAAGGTCACTGGAGTTAAGAAAGATATCATCACAATGTTTTGCTCTTGCTTTGGTTATTCTGCATGTTTTTGCACAGAAGCAGAGTTGCAGAGCTTTGCTGGCACTTGGGGCACTGGCCACACAGGAGGGACCCGATTGCAGACTGATGTTAAATCTCACCACCTGGGAGCAGAATGCTAACTCAATGCTGTTTATTGAGGAGTATATATGAAAGAGTATTACTAGAGTAACGTATATATGAAAGGTTAACATGGGTTTTAAAAATGCCACCTCTAAATTTAAATGCAAACAATGAAAACACTAAATGGGAATATGTGCAAGTAAGTATTTATCTTTCTAATGTGATAACAACGTGGCTCCCTGACTTCTGATGAGCCATCCAGCCACACAGAGCACCCAGTCCCCTATGGTCCCCAGCACACCTCTCCAGCCTCACCTTCCTGCCACGTCTCTTAGGAATCTCATGTTCTGGCATCATATTGGCATTTCCTTTTTAAAGGAAGTACCTGAACGTCAGGAAGTTCCATTTGGGGGTGTGTTCCTAAGGCTTTTGTCTTGGCCTCTGCACACACTGCTCTCTTCCAGGTCGGCAACTACTTGTTCTATGACACCTACCAATGTCCTCCTTACCCCTCCGTAGTAAGGAGTGTCCTCTCCAGGAGTGTCCTCTCCAGGCATGCCCTCCTGAGACATCAGAAGAAGATCTTATTTGCAATACCAGTGTCTGCACACGTAGTGAAGGGGGAGGATCTTGAGATGAGATTGTCCTGGATTAGAGTGGGTCCTAAACCCAAAGACAAGTGTCCATCAAAGAGAAGAGTGGAGAGAGACACAGGGAAGGCCACATGAAGATAGGCAGACAGGAGTGATGCATCTACAAGGCAAGGGCACCAAGGACTGCAGCAGCCACCAAAAGTCAAGAGGCCCAGGGAACCAGCCCTGTCGGCAACTTAAGGCAGACTTCTGGTCTTTGAAACCATGAGAGAATAAATTCTGTGGTTCTAAACCACAGAAATTGTGGAAATCTGATACTGTGGCCTCAGGAAACTGATACACCTCCCAAGTCCAGTTCAAAGGCCCTTCCTCCCATTATACCTTCCTTAAAGCCCCTCACGCTGGAATTAATGGCTCCAGCTCTGACACGCCCACTAGTGCTTTGTGAGAGATCTGCTGCTGGAGTCTTCGCGGCCTTGTACTGGGCATGCAGGGCTGGCTCTTGACTGGGCCATCACCTCCCATGGACAGTGAACCTGCCTTCCCCCGTCTTTAGGATCCAGGCACTCAGAGTGTCCCCATAGGAACCAGGTCAAAGAAAAGCCTACAGAACCGTATGCTACCGAAAGACATGCAGATCCAAAGTGCAGGCACAAACATGGACCTCTCTGACCTCAAAAAAATGACAAGCAATAAGGCAGGCAGGTGTAAATGATGATGGCGAGCCTGGACTAACAACCAGTAAATAAGCTGTACCGACAGTGTATGCCTTTATGAAGGTAAGACTAGGGAGGGTTTCAGTTTGTTTGTTTTGGTACTAGGGATTGAACCCATGGGTGATTTACCATTTAGTTGTGTCCCCAGCAGTTTTATTTTTTATTATTTTGAGACAGGGCCTCACCAAATTGCTGAGGCTGGCCTTGAACTTGAGATCCTCCTGCCTCGGCCTCCCAAGTTGCTGGGATTACAGGTGGGTGCCACTGTGCCTAGTTAGGAGTGTGAGTGTGTGTGTGTGTGTGTGTGTGTGTGTGTGAAATAATGCCCCTTGGAAGTGTCCCATGTGATTTTTAAAAAGTAAAATGGTTGTTTATCTAAACCTTTAACATGTTTGCAATTACCTTTTATATTAAAGCCATTTTTTTCTAATTCTATCAATTATAAAAATGCAGTTGAGTAAGACAGCAGAGAAGTTTAGATAGCAGAAAATTTTAAAATGTTCACACTACCATATACAATTTTAAAAGCCCTGCAAATACAACAAACAACTGAACAAGTTCACTATAATAATTACTATAGTCATAAATTACTTTTTCTAAGACCCATTTATGTAGAATTTTAGAAAGAATTTGAAAAAATAATGTCATAAGATTCCTTGGTATTTTGGGCCCTAACTGTATAAAGATGAGGAGGACAGACTGTCATTAAAATGGATTAGTCAAGCAAAAATACTGACAGATAACTGAAGAGACAGCTGCACCATGAAATGGTTTAATCTATAAGCTTTTATCACACTAAACGATGGCTCACAGGTGGACTTCAGGACCTCCTTCTCATAGATATGCTCACTGCTGATTGATCTGTTACTAGCTGGACGTTGCCACGACCCACCCACCCAGGCTCTCTCTACCCTGGAAGCGCTGACTGCCGTGAATCAGAGACCCAGAGCAGCAGAGTGCTCCATCCCAGCTCCGAGTTCCACACAACTCTGACATCCAGCTCTGGATCTCTTGCTGCTTCTGGAAGGGGGCTGTCCCATCACTTCTGGGGGTGGTCACCCTGCTTTTCAGATGCAGTTGACATCAATGAAAGAAAAAAGACCCTTTGAACACACACCTCCTGTCCAGAAATCCCAGGAGAACAGCCCCTTCCCAAGCTGCTGGTCACTCAGGCACAGTCCATGCCAGGCCAAAGTGATCAGCAGCACCTCACTGCTAACCCGCCTGACCGCGTGGCACCACCCCACTTGTACTGATCTGTGGTCCACCCCTAAACACACAACACAGGGACTGCTGCTCACTCTCGCCCATAAAAATCCTAGTGTGTTAAAATATTATTTTCAATTTAAAGTTGTGAAAATGGCCACACACACCTCTCAGAATTCACCTCTGACATTCTCTACCCTTCCTTCCATGCCACACAGTACTTGACACTTGCAGTCACTTAGAATGTGTTTTCTCTCTGAGCCACCCCCAGCCCTGACATTCTATGCTTTATCTTTAAGGCTGGGAGTGGACATGTGAGGTTGGAAGCCTGGGCTGGGGGCCTGGATGTGAATCTGGAGAGCAAATGAGGGCCTCTCAAAGACTAGAAGATGGGAAATGGGGCCATCTGGGTTGATACAAAATCTCCATATACAGTAATGAATTAATTTAAAGTTTGTTTTTGGAAATTATTATCTAAAATAGTAATAAGAGGCAAGCGGATGTTTTCTAAAAATAATACTAGAGAATAGCTAAAATTTATGGTGAAATAAGTAACTATGGTGCTCCATAGTAGATGACACTGTCACTTAGTGCACGCCATCCCACAGCACTATTCTGAGCCTCAGCAACATTAACTCAGCAAATCAACTTGAAATAACACAAAGTGGGTACAATTATTATCCCCATTTACAGATGAAGACACTGAAACATGGTGGATCAATGACTTTCTCCAGGGTGGCACCGCACCTTTAATAAGCAGCGGGACCAGCTTTTCTGCCATCCTAGAATATGGTAGTGTTCAGGAACTGAGGTGGGCGATTCATTACATGGAGGCACAAAGCAACAGAACAGGAAAAGCAGAGGTAGAGCTCGGAGTCCTGGGGCAAAGGGTGAAGAAAAGGCCTGCAGTGTGCCCCAGCACAGAAAAACCCAGGGATCAGCAGTGGATCAGGAAGTGACTGTGGGAAACGGAGGAAGTGCCCAGTGCACAGGAGCCCCACAAACACTGGCTTCCTCTATACCAGTGGCTCTGGACTGGGAATGAGTTTGTCCCTGGAGGGGACATGTGGTGACATCTGGAGACATTTCTGTTTGCTACTTCAAGGAGATGGGGTGCATGTGGTGGGTCTATGTTTGCTGACCCCCACCCCACAATGCCCAGGACGGCTCTGGAACTAAGAGGAGTCTGGCCCCATGCTGAGCAGCCCTTTGCCTGTGGACCGCCTCTTCCCCAGTGCCCTTCCCACTACTCAGGGATGCATCCACTCTCCCAGATGCGACCCCCAGCCCTGGCCTTGGCCTCTGCTGCAAGCTCTGTCTCAATTCTGGCAGGGGTGGCAGGCAAGGAGCAGGATGGGCAGATGGGGACACAACAGAGGGAGCTGGGGCCTGCATCTCTTCAGGGAGAACCCTGATCCTGGCTAGGCAAAGCTCCTGTGACAGGAATTCTCTGAGGAGTGCCACATGGGGTGTGACACAGTCAGTTTGTCTGTGGTTTGTATGGGCCTAAGAAGGCTGAGGCCAGAGCAGGAGATGCACAGAACGAGAGAAAGAGAAGGAGCCGACCAGGCCCGGGCCGCCTGCTGCAGTGCGCCCCAGAGCTGCAGAAGCACCCAGCTGTTCAGCCAGCTGCTGGGATTCCCTGAAGGCTGCACAGCCTCAGCCCACTGTGTGTGCCGGCAGTGCCCTCACACCAAGCGACCCTCACATGGCCGGGGCAAAGGAGGCGATGCTCGCTGGCTTCTGTGCAGAGAAGGCCGTTGACTGCTCTGGTCTGTGACTGCTGTGCCACCCTGTCAGTCAACACATGGATGTCCTTGCTGGCAAATGGGTGCAGGACAGTCAGAGTGTGGCCTAGCAGAGCTGTGGGGGCTGAGGGTCCTAAAGGACAGAGGAGGGGGCAAAGCTGCAGAAGTGGCCCCTCCACAGGGAAGGCATGGCACCTCCTGTTCAGCCACCACCTGAGAGGGGCTCTGCTGGGCCAAGGCAGGCAACCAGATGGCAGAGACATGCACACATCCGCACAGTGCACACTTCACACCCAGCCAGCTCCCACTGCTTTGATTTACTGTGACTTAAAATTACATTTTAAGTCATATTCACTCATTAAGCAGAGGTCACGGTAACAAAGTCAAATCATGTCTTAAAGAGCTGGGTATAAAAGAATAAAAGACACTCAAGACAAATTTACACACTGACCCAAACTTCACTTAAAAAAATACACACACACAAACCTGACATACTCCCAATCCCTATAATTTTAACTTGATATACTTAGATTTCATTGTAATTTCACAAAGAAAAATATTATCAATATATTAGTCATTCAAAAATCTATCTTTTAAGGGGCTGAGCTGTAGCTCTGGGGTGCCTAGCATGCACAAGGTACTGGGTTTGATCTCTAGCACCATGAAAAAACAAACTCTGACTTTCATTTTTATTCAACATTTAGAAACACAAGTTTACTATATTCATAGTATTTTTTTCTTTTGGAAAAAACTGTAAATATTTGAGCACAAAATAAGCAAAATATGGGAAAAGTATATGGAAAAGCCTCTTGTGCTTAGAAACTTGAACATTACTGAAGGCAAATCTTAAATTCAACTTTATAGCACTTTTAATGTAGCAGAACAAATGAAGTCCACCTGTGTTTTCCTCCTTTCCCTGGTGTGTGTGTGTGTGGGGGGGGGGTCGCATGTGTGGAGATAAGTGTATACACTGCCAAGAGAATGTGGATGCTCTTTTAAGCACAGTGGGGGTGGGGGAAATAACTACTAGGAAAGAAGGAAACAATGGTCAAGATCAAGGCAAACATTTTGCTCAGTTACACAGCTCAAAATGAACTGCAATAAATGCCTGAGGAATGTCACAAAGTTGTGACCTTGAAATTATATGAGGCTCCCATCATGGCTTTAAGATGGCTTGTGTTTGAGTCTAGGAACTAACTAGAATACTTACCACTGTCAACATGTCCTCTGTTTAGGATAACAACCCAATCACTAGGCTGAAACAATGGTGAGGGTCCAGGTTGGTTCCCAGGTATCAAGTCCCCTACAGTTGTGGAGCAGAACAGGAGGTACCTGGCAGCCAGGATACAGGGCCACCCAGCTGCCACCATCAGCAGCTTAGATGCTTCCCTCTCTCCCTGGCCTATTGGGGAGATTTAAAAACGAGGGCGTGTGGAATCTCCCCAGTGCTCCCTCAGGACCTTCTGGGATGACTCTCCTCACTGTCATGACCCCTCTGTGCAGTCTTAGTGTAGGGAAGGGCTTCTGTGCCTGCAGAATAAGCTTTGCCTGGCCACACGCGTTAG